AGAGAGAGAGAGAGAGAGAGAGAGAGAGAGAGAGAGAGAGAGAGAGAGAGAGAGAGAGAGAGAGAGAGAGAGCTGAGGGTGGTGTGACCGGTCAACTTAACTCGATCTGTTGTTAATCGAATCGGTGAAATTGAATATGTGGATGGCGTTTGTGGCCAGTTTATTTTAAGTTTAGCGATTCTGTTTTCTACTCTTTCTCGGTGATGATGATAGTGTTCTTCGAATCGTTGAAGATTCATTGCTGTTTACTATTCTGTTTGTGACCGTGTATGACCTTGCTGTTTGTGTGCTGTTTACTATTCTGCTTTCCACAAACACTTAGAAAGACAGAAGACGCCAAGAGCTAAAACAGTGATACAGAAAGCACCAGCCATACACTAACAAAGAAAACATAGAGTCAGAGACAGAAAGAGCGAAGTGAGATTCTTCCTTTGGGGTGCTTCCTGTCTTTTTTCGCGGGCGGAGCTGCGCTGGCTGCACCGGCTTGTTGTTTTTAAAGAAAGGGCGGAAGCCTTGGTATATCATCATGGAGCTGACCAACCCCAGGCAACTCAGGATTATTTTGACTTCATCTGGACTCAAAATTCGATCTGTTTTTCCACAGTTCATGGGTGAACCAACTAAGCTAGGCCCATCAGTTCCTTTTCCTGTTTTTAAATGTTTCTTTTTTCTTACTGTGAACTCTGTTTTGGTTTGGGACTGCTGCAGATATGTTGGACTCTAAATGACGGTGATTCAGTGACCAAAGGAACAGTGTTTGGGGTCATTACAGGTAAGAAGAAAAAAAAGCCGCTCATTTCTGGTCAGTTGTGGTGTGAATAGTTGTCTGGTCTCGGACTTGAATTGCGGAGAATAGCTGTGATTGACCAGTTGGTGATTGGGAGGGCTCATGCTTTGCTCCTATCGTTGGGGGTTTATCAGACTATTGCAGGTTAGCTGAGGTTGTAGAGAGGCTGTTCGCCTTTTTTTGAAATCCAGTCCTTTCTCTCTTTGATTAGCGTAGAAGAAGCATGGTAATGATGATTCTTCAACTTTGTTCATCGACATATGCTTGATTGACAACTCAGCAAGCTAATAATAGTGCTTGTATTAAAATTTAAAATTTCACAAGCAGGGCTCCCCCGCGGCTTCGCCCATGTGAGTAACCGTTATTGGTGAAGGTCTTATAAGAGTGGGTGGGAGGTGCTCACATTCTGAAGGTGTGGAGTGTCCCTCTTGACGGTAGCAAGAATAGGAATGCAAAAGGAGAAAAAGAAAAAGGATGAAAAACTAGGTGTCCGTAGCAGGACTACTCACCTGGATATTATTTTTGATCATCCGTTTTGCCAAATCCCAGTAGCAACATCAGAGGAAAACGGCGAATTGATGGTTTGCATGTGTTTAAAGGTTGCGGGAGTGGAAGGGTTGTGTTGAAAACAATTGGAAAACATGGCACGGATGGATAACAATCAAGAAATGGAATTTGAAGATACGGAAAAGCAGGCGGGTTATAAAATGGAGCTCCCACTGAAAGCGTATGACAGCAATAACATGAGCTCAAAAGAGAAATTGGAGGACAAGAAGAATAGCAAGCCGACTGAGGTCGATCATGATGCTGAAGAGTTTTGTGGTGATGTATTCCATGGTGAACAGATGGAATAGAGACTGCTGTAAAATGTGTGAACAAATGTGTGAGCACTGAGCAGATGTGAACACATTTCTGTAGATTTATAGGTATGTGCTATTTAGACACACCCCATTGCGAGCGCCTGACTCCATAGATGCAGACAAGGCTTCATTCATACCAGTAACACGGTTGTATCGCGGGGCAGTGTAGCCAACAGGAGCAGTTCTGTAATCTTAGAAGGATTGGGTATTGATGCAGCTGTTTGTGTTACGTCGTCTGTCGTAAATGCATGGAGAATTTGGGGGAGAAACCCATTTGTATTCCAGTTTGTATGTGGAAAGAAGGCAATGCTTGCAGGAGGTCGTTGGGTATGTTGCAGGGGTAGAGGGTTCAACTGGAAGATGGGGTGCCATGTCATGAACCCGTGTGCATATATATAGAACTCAAAGTTTCAAACGGAATCTTTCCGTCAGGCAAATCAGGAGGTGCATATGCGACATGATGGGTTTCGTGTGCAAGAATTGACAGGTACTCGGTCTTGAGAGTTGGTTCGGTGAGCTGAAAAGTGTGATTGGCAATGCTGTGGTCAGCAAGTCTCCAATCCGTACTTGTGTTATGATCCTGGCCAATTTCGAAGTACAGAATCATGAAAAAACACAATGCCGTCCAATTGCAAAAAGAAATGAATGAACTTGAGAGGAGAGAGAGGGAAAGAAGAAGAAGAAGAAGAAAGAAAGAAGAAGACGAATATGTACACCAGCAAAGACCAATGGTAATTCCCTTCTTCTTCGCCAACCACTCTTCTCCTTCTGATCTCCTCCCCACTTATTCAAACAAGAAATAATAACAATGTTGAATGGCTGAACCAGAATAAATGTCCAAACAAGAAATAATAATAATGTTGAATGGCTGAACCAGAATCAATCTCCAAATCCCTCTTCTACTGCAGGTATCACATGAGGTCCACCATAGCCATGGCCACCCTTCTTCCTCCTTCCTCCAAGGCCGAGGCTATGGCGGACTACCAGGGCATTGCCCTGCTGTGCAAAGGACAACACAAAGCAGCTATGGCTGCTCTTGTTCAGGCCGGCATGCTTGACTCTGCCTCAAAGCTTCTTGGTGCAGCTCTACCACAGCGGGGCCTTCCAGATGCAGCGTCCACCAATGTGATGAAGATGGCGTCCACCACAGCCAGGTAAGTACCTCTGGCGCACCCCCTTCCTAGTCCTGGTCTTCCTCCTCCTCCTGTCCTTGCTCCTTCCCCAGCAGCACTGCTCTATGCTAGCGGTGCTCCAGCCAGTGCTCCAACCAGTGTGTCACCAAACTTGCACACCGACCTCCTGGAGATATAGCGGCCTGCTTGCCTCTTGGGTGGTGACTTCCTAGGGTGCGCGGCCTCCAAGCAAGTGGTACCTCCTCTCTTATGGAGGGAAACGTCATTGCAGACTTTGATATTGCCCGTACAGGCCCTAGACTCAGACTGGTTGGACTGGTACCCGCCTAGACGTAGCCTACAATGACTGGGCGTCTAGAAATGCCAATTTTTGTCTTCTTCTGCTCTGCCTTAAGTATCCGGCACATCTACCTTTACGTGGTGTCGTACCGGCCTACCTGCTACTTGAGTGTTTTCCGCTGTCCCCGCCACTTGAGTGTTTTCCCCGCCGCAACCCTCAATGTCACGGCCACAGGTAAGTAGTGGACCTTCAGGCCTCCTGCATGGTAAAGTAGGGTCCCACACACACTCAAACCGACAAGCACTCAGACTGGCACACAGACCAGCAAGCACGCACACACTCAGACTTAGAAACACAACAACAACTTAGAAACTCAACAACAAGCGGGAAACTCATAAAAACTCGGAAATCAGTTGTGTGTCAGTCTGTCTTGGCAGGTCCTTACACTACCCCCCCCTCAAGAGCAAGGTCCCTTCGAGCGAGTAACTCATTCAGAGTCCCTGACAAACACGTCGTAAGGAATAGGGTGAAGAGGTTCCGTGAGTACTCAGTGGGAATGAGTTTTGCAGAGATTTTGATGACAGCACCGGAAGCTATCTGTCGTTCGTATGCTTTCACAACGCGAGGTGCGCTGTGCAGCAGTTCCTTCTTAGAGATCCCATGAAGATCGTCCAACGGTGGTACATGAAATGAACCTGATATTGTCTGTTACGTCCCTCCCCAATGTGATTTTTGATTCTATCTATCTCGTGACCACCATTGATTGCATGAGGGATCATGTTCTCACAATATTTGCAGGTTTTAGCATCATGATATATAAACAATTTTGACGCATGAAAGACCGGGTACGCGCGCAAATGAGGAGGCTTGACAATTACATATGAAAGACCGAATTCATCATCCACCAATCATGTCTAGAACTTCCCACATACCATAATAGAGAGGGAGAAGTTTGCAGGACACCCCTTTTTCTTTCGAAAATTCAAACATCTTGACACATACATAACTTCCACTTCGATAGTCGAAGGTTTTCACTTCTTATTCGCATGATGGATCATGGCGTGTTGTCACTTGGTCATTGCTGCAATGGCAACCTTGAGTAAGCGAACATACTTAGCGCTGAAGCCAGGCCGGCCAGGCGTTAGACCAGCCGACTGTTCGGGGATTAAGTAGGAGAGCGGATTACGAATCTTCCAGTCGTAATGCAACCGATTTGGCATCATGCCGATGGAAGAATGGATGGAGTTGTTGTATAACCCCTTGATTGAATACAACTCTTCATCTCACATTTCTTGATCCGGAATGATTAAGGCATAGAGAAGTTGAAACACGGTTTGATTAATCCCCTCAGCCGAACCGTTGACTTCGGGATGTCGACCAGATGTCATCCTCAGTTTGAGGCCAGGGAGTTGGGACGTGAACCCCTTCCATTCAATACTCATGAAGCGCGGGTCTCGATCACTGACAAGGGTTTTCGGGCTCCCGAACTGCAGAATGTACTTCTGGGGAAACTCATGGATCACGAGTTGAGTTGGGGCATGAGGTGGCAATGGAATCAGATTTAGAAATTTGGAAAAGCAATCAACAATCACCATCACTCGCGAATAACCATTCTTACTTGTCTTTCCCATGGTTGTGAGGTCGATAAAGACGGAGTCACCGGGATCGTTGGAAATGGGAAGAGGTTTGAGCAGCCCCATTGGCCTTTGCCTTGATGGTTTGAGTCGTTCGACACACTTGACACTCAACCAACTTTTCAGCAGATCCTTTCATACCAGGCCAGTCAAATTGTTGTAACAAGTTTCCATAGGTTTTTGTCATGCCGAAGTGTCCACTCGGACCGTTAAGCAAATCCAAGAAGTCTGTGCGGAGAGGCTCATGGTTGGGTACACACCAGCAGTTATTTTTTCCATAGTGTTATGACCTGTCATCACACGGACTGAAACAGACAGCCGATTTCTGAGTCTTGCCGTGGAATGCATGCCACACTAAGTTCCCCCGCCTGCTAAGCCTGCTTGTGTGTGTGTGTGCTGGACTGCATGTCTGTCTGAATGCTGGCTGACCTGTGTGAGTGTGCTGCGTGCCTGTCTAAGTGACTTGAGTGTGTGTGTGGCCCCGTCGGGGTCGTGGATGTGGGGGCAGGACCGGTAGGGCCGGTACTTACCGGTGGCGTGGCATTTGAGGGTTGCAGCCAGGAAACACTCAGGTGGCGACGATAGCGGCCCTGCGGCCCTC